GTCAAAAATGGATTTTCTTCTACGACGCCAAACGACGACAGAGAGGTCATACACGATATAATGATAAGGGGGCATAACTCCGTTATGCTTAACACTAGGTCAATGTAACTCAGATCACATGGAGAGTATTTGTTGTGGATACGGATGCTATACTTTCGTTATTTTTTGTTCACGGTGAACCAAACTATTCCAATTCAAAGTTCCCCAATATGAGCGGATACGCTTTGGTAGTTTCACAATTTATAAGAAAAGATGACAACGCATTACACATGTGAAAGCACGTAATGGCGATTTGGATGGCCCTATCCGATATATAAGTTAGTTCTTAGATTCCCATATTCTCCTGTTTGTGTAGATGTATTTTGACTAATTTTGCATCGTTATTACCAGAATACTAGCCATATCTTCAAATGTATTGAAATTGCTGAAAATAATACAACATTTTAGTTGACGTCATTGCTTGTTTTATGCATTTTGCGACGTCGGAAAGTGACGACATTGGTATGCTGATTAGTGTATATCTCACTTAATTTCCATTAATTGTATAAAAGGTCTAGACTTCTATGTCAGAATTTAACACTCTTTAGACAAAACATAAAATGACTGATTTTTCCATTTAAATAGTGTCCAGAATATATCAACAATTAGACAGTTTGACAGCGTATCTTATTGTGAACAACACGCACACCTGTTTGGCTTCAATTTAAAGTAAATAAAAATAATATTTCACAACACCCGAATATTTTGTTTGGGATAAGAATTTTGTTTGTTTATGATTATGAAGCTATTTCTCTTCATACGTATGCAATGAAAGATGCAAAAAAGATAGCTTTTTATATATGGAACTATATATTAGAATATGGATATAAGATTTGTCCGAATTAACACGTGAGATGGTATATATATTTTTCAACAATTTTCCTATAAGTAGTTATAAGAGTTTGATATCCTGTCATCACAATATTATTTAATCGAATATGAATTGAATATATTATCGAAAACAATGATAGAGAATCATAAAACGTTTCCAAACAAAACGCCACCTTGTCGATCTATATGCATCATTCTTTTGTCTATAAAACGACACAAAATTATGCAATGAACAAGACAATTCCTTTAAATATGTGTGCATATACATTTCATACCATATATAAATCATTGTCATTAATATTATCAGTTTTGCATATAAGGTTGAATTATATCACCGTTCATTAACTTGTTCATATGAAATTGCAATATTAGTCCAAATAAATTGAATATTGTACATCATAGGAACTAAAGTAGTTGCAGTTATGGCTATACGCTTGATCTTCTAACACTTGTGTAAAGGTTTAGAATATGGTGTATTGCAATAAATATGTCAATTTCTTATGTAAATATGATTCAAACAATCAAAACCTTTCAAAGAATAAAACACCATAAACCCTATATGCACGTATGATATGATATTGAACAAGGCTAAATGTAGATACTGAAGTCAATTTCATGAAAAAGTATCCGAACTATCCGCAAAATATACATCATAATACTGACAGTGTAATCGGAAGGATATGGCGATTGTGTTTACTCTTGTTCAACCGACCTTCACCTCAAAGAAATTGTCTAATATGTAGAACAATGTTGACGTATGACATCACTACCGCTGACCGATTTCTTACAAAATGGCGGCTTTGCTGACAAGGGTACACAGGATTTTTCGCGAGGACCCTTCCACTGATTCAGGGATCGTTTGTACATAAATATGAGATGTAAGTAATCAGAATGATTCTGACTATCTGTGTATTGTTATATGTTTTATCGTTTTCACTATAATGCAAGAGAAAAGGACAGAAATGCAGATAATTACCGTTGTCGCCTCTGCGATTTACGTCAGTCATGGCGTCACGCTAAACGGAAACTTTGACAATTTCTTATGAATTATCAAATCATTGCATTGTATCTATTTATAATTTCCTATTTCTTGCTACGATACACTTTCCATGTATATTCTAAAGGTACTGAGCCATTGCAAGCAATGAATAGACGGATGAATGTTGAAAATTTCAGAAAATGCTACGCGCCGGTGTAAAAATCGAATTTGACTTTGTTTACATTTCACACAAACGACGCCAGTCTGCCAAGCACAGCGTTCGTTTTCACACCAATATGTTTCGTCCTCATTTTATCTAGACAGTTATTATTGGTGACACAGACCAGTTTCAAATTGATTCTAAAATGTATGGGGAATTCAGTGATGCATTTTTTGAAGCTGAATATGAAATATACGTGATGTAATAGGCGTCTCAATACCGGCCTTCGCGAAGCGTGATTTTGTAAACACTATCCAATATGGCGGAAAGCTCACGGTGTTCGTGTAAGTGCATTTTCGAAAAACATCCCAACCGATTCTAGATTCATCGGCAACGTTTCAGAATTATAATTAAGCGAAATCATGTAAAACTGATATCAGTGATCATAAATATTTTATTTTTGAAATTCAATACTCACAGTAATTATCCGATTTTCACATTTCAAAACATACAGCAAATAACGCTGTTAATCGCGATTTCATACTGTGTCAAAAATGTCACCATTTTCGATGAAGACTATTTTGAAAGGTCATTTTCAGCACTTGAGCTTTGTCTAAAATAATAGTGGATGGTATCAAGAAACAGGAAATTTCCCGCAGAATTCGAAACTGTGAAGTGTATTTGTGTGCGTGGGATATTTTGATTTTTATTCGACTTCACATTGAGGGTTGAAGGGGAAGGACATATATGTCCCTGTGGCATCCAGGGGGTTAATGATTCACATCAAACATGCATGTCTGGTAGAACTTCTTGCATGATGGGACATTTCATAAAGAAACATAATACAGAACATACCTGGTGAATTTCTTTATCTTTATGTCATCGTATCCCAATTGCGCAGATCGATGCTCATGCTGTTGACCACTGGATTGTCTGGTCCAGACTCGATTATTTACAGACCGCCGCCATATAGCTGGAATATTGCTGAGTGCGAGTAAAACTAAACTCACTCACTCACTCACTCTTTATCTTTAACACTTGAAATTAAAAAGTGATTTTATTGTAGACTAATGGAATGCACAGTAAGGTTACAACACTAAATTGAGTCTATATGATTCATGAAAGAATTAACTATCTACAAATCAGTCTAACATAGAACTGTTAAAGCTGAACTAAGATGTGAACTGGCTGATTTTAGCTTGTCGGCATAAAATGACAATTTCATAATAATAAACACAGAGTTTTGAGAAAACACTTACAACTAAAATGAGACATTAGTTTTGCATGAATATTTTCGACAAAATTTAGTGCCAAAGTTAAATGTCACGGATTGTTTATGTCAGTGCGTAACCTTTTAATGTCTGCGTGTATTCTTCAAGAGTCATTTAGAAGTCCTTGGAGAGTACTTGTCACTCATTTCTCAGCAAAATTGTCATCAATCATAGAAGTCGATGAGTTGGTTTGGCAAAGATTCAGTTAAAAGCCTTAAATGATTATTTTTAACTACGCTGGGGAAAGAGAGATGAACTGAGGATGAAGTACTTACTTTGTCGATTGTTTGCAAATGACTGACTGACTGACTGAGTTTAGTTTTACGCCGCTTTTAGCAATATTCCAGCAATATCACAGCGGGGGACACCAGAAATGGGCTTAACACATTCTGCCCATGTGGGGAATGGAACCCGGGTCTTCGGCATGACGAGCCAACACTTTAACCACTAGGCTACCCCACCGCCCCTGTTTGCAAATGAACAATATGTGGAGACACTTTTCAAGGAAATGACAAGTTTGATGTCACTGAGGGATAGTAATAAGGAAGAAAGATGTGTTCGGCTTGCTCATTGGTTGAAGGCTCTACTTGAAATGGGTACAGTACAAGTGTACCTCTTATTGTTCACTTTCCCTGTCTCCTTACCAGGGTATTGTCACTGTCCTATTTCAGAACTAGCAAATTACATTTATAGAGAAATATCCCTTTATGTATATAGGCACATCTGGAATGAGAGAATGAGTTTGGTTTAATTCCTTTGACAGCATTTCAGTGATATTAGGGCATGAGAGCGAACTGTGTCCTTAGTCCATAGCGATACAGGTCTCGGATGTCTTGCAGCTTGGTGAGATCCATTAACAAAGGCATAGTTCAGGAAAACCTAGAAACATGACCATGGGAAATCTTGGATTCAAACCTACAATCATAGGGTTCTGGCATGTCTAAGGGAGGCAACTCTGTATTGTGTATGGTAATACTTTCAATGACTAGGCTACTTGTGCCCATAAATGTGCCCTAATGATCTGCAAGGGACAGGTTCTGGATTAGCAAGGGTTTAGTGGACATCACTCACTCGTCAATCGTACCAAGCAGGGGCGGTGGGGTAGCCTAGTGGTTAAAGCGTTGGCTCGTCACGCCGAAGACCCGGGTTCGAATCCCCACATGGGTACAATGTGTGAAGCCCATTTCAGGTGTCCCCCGCCGTGATGTTGCTGGAATATTGCTAAAAGCGGCGTAAAACCAAACTCAGTCAGTCAGTCGTACCAAGCAGTTCAATTTATGAGCTCAGTTCTCATAATCAGCCATGGTTTACCTGGTCCAGATACAACCCCAGGCCAAATATCACTAGTCAAAGAGATATGAGAATGACAAGTCAACACTGACACTTGACCCAATTGATAAGATGGATCAACAAATGTTTGTTTCTCATTAAATATTCAAATGCATGACAGCTATGTAAAAAGGATTTGTTCAAGCATAAAGTTCACCGATACAAACCCAGTCATGTCTCTTATGATACATACATTCAATGTAAATAATACATATACATTAGCTGGTGTTAGCTGGAAGTAGCTATGGGAATAACTTAATGGCCATTTGGCAAAAATGCTATTCAGCATCATTGAACAAGGTTGGATAAACATCATAGTCACTGAATAAGTGAATTAAGGTACTTGAATGAGATGGGACATGGTAGTGGGTTGTCCAAAATGTTTTAGAACTATACTATTCACACTTTGCTAAGGATCAAATCATTAACTCAACAGAAAACTATGTTGTGGGGTCTAAGTTGGTTTAAATATCTAAGCTTATTGTAAGCATGGATCCTAGGTTTCAGTATGTCACTGCATCTTGTGGATCCCATACCTGCTATTGACAGGTGTTGGGTACTTGTCAATGACTCATTCCATGATTTGCAAAACGGTTGATTGGTGCCATGAAAACCATTTTCATGGTTACTCATGTATCAAGTGCAAAAGGTTAGAATAAAGTGGCTGTTTGTCAAAAGAAGGGTTACCATATTATTATTTATCCAGTTTTAAATGGATACAATTTCAAATTACAAAGTGAGTGAGTGAGTGAGTGTTTAATGATGCTTTGAACAGTATTTCACTTATATCATAGTGTGTCAGCTAAAAGTATAAGGAAACCCTAAAGTGATGTAGGCCTATCAACAAGCATTTCAGTCTCTAAATCATCTCATCAGATATGATCAGTAGAAACATGTTACTTGATCTAAAGATCAGCAGAAATCAGTATAATTTGTACCCAAGATACAGCTGTATCCATTTTCAGAGACTGACTGACTGACTGAGTTTGTTTTTACGCCGCTTTTAGCAATATTCCAGCAACATCACGGCGGGGGACACCAGAAATAGGCTTCACACATTGTGCCCATGTCAGGAATCGAATCCGGATCTTCAGCGTGACGAGCCAACGCTTTAACCATTAGGATACCCCACCGCCCCCCATTTTCAGAGAGGACAGTGGGGTAGCCTAGTAGTTAAAACATTTGCTCATCATGCCGAAGGCCTGAGTTCGAATCCTCGCATGGATACAATGTGTGAAGCCCATTTCTGGTGTTCCCACCATGATATTGCTGATTAAAGTACTAAAAGCTGTGTAAACTCCAAATAACACACGTTTTCAGAAATGTTGGTCACTCAACAGCAAAACTGATTTTAATTTGCAAATTAGAAACTGTATTTTATAAATGACATAAACACAGAACAGTTCCATATTCCTCGGGTAACCCCTCGCAGTTTCCAAGCACATTAGGAAGCAATGTCATGTAAACATCTTCAGCATTTTCCTTGATGTTTCAAGCTCAAATACACATAGAGTCATGTCAATACATGAAGTTCCATACAATGAACTCACACAAAGTTAAAGTTAATTAATAAATAACCAACTGCCCCTTCCCCTCCAACCCTTATATATTTACATCAACAATATGACATGCATAAGTTATAGGGGCACTTATGATGTACCACATAGATTCTGTTACATGTCTCCAGTTAATATTAAAATATAACACATGAAGCGAGACTATATTCTATTCATCTTTCCCTGTTAAGTATAGTCATATTACCAAAACAATAAACACATCAAACTGAATATTTCATTTGCTGAAGTCCTTGCATCAATAAAGTCAGCAATTTGATAGTAATTTTAATGTTTCATCAGAGAATAAAACTGTCCCAGTGTCACACAAGATGGATGGAGTTTTCCAGCTGTGTAAATACTGCTCCTCTACATGTGGTACCTTGCTGAAATTGACACTATAGAACCAATCTCTTAAATATTTCAGCTATCAAATGATCAATATTGTAATTCAAACATTCGATTAAATTTTAAAGATTTATACACTTGCTACCATAATAAAACAAATAATGCAATGAGAAATAAACCCGGGGTCTCATGTTTCAAATAAATAAAAAAATAAAGAACATAAATCACATACATATAGCTGTCAATACGTCACTCTAGAAAGAGACAAGTATACCCTGGGGCAGTAATCAATTTCAAAATTCCCATCTCACCTGCCAGTACAAGGCTGAGCCCTAGGTTATCCTGATCCCATGGGGGCCGTAACAAGCTTCTGTCCCTTGGGATCCAGTGATGCTGGGCCCTAATATACGCCTTGCCTATACTCCTCTTTATCTTTTCAAGAATTAGGAATTGCAAACACATGGTTATAAACAATGGACTTAATGCAACAAGGGCGATATAATTGAGTTACCACAAACCGCGGGGTTTTCTTCTGTTTGGCTTTAGTTCAATTGGATTGGAGAATTTGGTTTGTTGGGCGAATTTGTCTCATACATTGTTAACAGTGAAGGGAATGAGACAATTTATGTGTTGTATTTAAGCGTGATTGATTCATGTTTATTGCTGAGTCAGCTGTTTGTACCGACTCCATTCAGTCTGTGGCTCTATACTAAAAGACGTTAGGCCACATCATATATACAAGCTTCTGCCTAAAAGGTTTATCAGGCTTAAACAGATGCCTTAATTGCTGATGAAAGAAACATGGTATTTTTATCACAAAGGGTTAAAGATGCTCTGTGACCGAAAACTGAAACAAATATGTTTCCTTTTGATGAATTAAAATTGTTTACAAATATTATCACTGCACAGTGCCAAACAAAGAGTTTTCATTCAAGATCGCCACAACAAAATTAATTCAAGAACATTGCACAAAGGTGGTTATCTACACCCAACAACAACAGGATATAACCCTGTAAACAATGCTATCCAGTACACTGTTATACCCTTAGACTACAGTGTTAATAGACTAGTTGTCCCTACCAGATAAATCTAAAGTGTCTCAAGCAATGCCGTTAATCTAGAGAACAAAGATATACTATATTTCCCCTACAGAGTGCAAGCGAGAAACATTCAGGGTTTAACAGTAGATAACCTTTAGTTAATAATTCATTGAATCCATGATCAAAGAAATATAGAATCTTCATCCCTTAACTGTCAAATATGTAATAAAGAGGCTTAGATAACCAAATAACGTAACATTTATATTTGTGATGTTTGTAGTTTGACCTTGAAAATTGGATTGAATTCAATGACTTGTGCATACAGAATAATCATTTTGAGATGATCAAATTCCCATTTGATGGCATGTGAATGAATATGATGAAGATGTAATGATTAGTGGCCAGGTACTGGTGGCAGTGTTAGGTTTCTTCAGTTGTCAGGGGAATAATATTCATCAGATTTATGCACTCAGTGTGATCGTAGTTGACAGGTTTGGGAGAAAAGTTCAAATGATAAATTAATGAGTTGTTTCCAGTTCACTTTTGAGATATATAATTTCACTTTCAAGAGTAATAATTCCACTGAGATAACAGTGGAAATAATTACTTCTGAAACATGATGGTTATGGTGCAGATGTAGGCGTGGACATCCGAGACTTTGCAAATTAAAATGAAGTATTATTCTGATACTATTTTCCATGATGTATCCCGCCTCTGTACATAACAACAGAAATCTAAACAGAGTATCATCTCACAATTAACACAACCGCAAAGGAGATACTGCCATCCTAACAACTGTTCCATGTTAATGACATAGAGATCAACAGAAAAAAAGAGAAATGTTTCCCTCTGATATTTAAACAAATTTAGTAATGCTGATAAAATTAAAAAGATGAAATATTTTCCAATAATTATGAGAATGAACGACAAAGGTCTTCAACTTTCAAAGCCAATATTAATGCATATTCACTACAATATCATACGATAGTACAAATATTAGCATGTCTTTACAGATACAATTCAACGCTCAGAGTCTATTATCTGACTATTTCATGAACAGGTGTTTATGCATCACTCTCAAACGATGATGACACACTGTAAAAATACTGAAAAATACACTGTAATTGTTCTTTGGGAAACGACAAATGTCAGTCTGGACTTGAATAGGGGCATTAGTTCAATAGACGCATATGCGATATTTCAGTGTAGATGCAAACACTGTTATCAAGCAGGTAATAAAGAGGTATCTCCCTTGTTCATCAGACCAGCTTCTAAATGCAACTCAAAGAAGTCATTCTTGACTTATTTGTGTGGAGTATCTAGTCAATAAAATGGTTTGGATTAATAAGGTTTCCACATAACACTTAAGGTTCCACATTATAATAACAGTCATCTTAGAATGCACTCAATTTCATGTAGTTAGAAACCAACCTGATATATACACCTGTCACTCAGTTGTACCTACCTGTAATTAACATCACAAACAGTTCAAAAGCTGATTCAAAACCAGTTCCCTACGTTCACCCATTAGCATGTACAATTACATTCAGTTTCACATTTGTAGAAACCAACATGATATATACACCATCACTTAATTGTACTTACCTGTAATTAATGTGACAAACAGTTCAAAATCCAGTTCAAAACCAGTTCATTACATTTACTCATTAGCATGTTAAAGATACTGAAAATCTGTTTCAAGGCCACACTCATCTTATATACAACTAAATCAGTGTCACTAGCTGACAAGACAAAAGAGAATTCAATGACGCGTGTCAAAACATTTGTCAATGGAAGCACGCTTTAATTGATTCCTCCCAGTCAAGTGAAATAGACCATTTAACATGGACTTGTGTCATTACGAAAACACCCTGCCTTGTGTCTATTCACCTAACACAAACAAGCAATGAAACATGACACCTAGGCTCTAATAGCGACACAAGTCCACTCGCAATTTCTATGGTACTGGACTAAGGGATTAAATTTGTATAGATCGCTACATTGTTAAGATGACAGGGTCGTCAACTAGTCCCCATCGAGATTGGGTACAAAAAAGCTACATTGGCCCTTTAGTGATTAAGTGAGGTGAAAGGAATACTCATTAATTGGACTTGAGTGAACTGACATCAGTGTAGCGACAAGATTCCTTTTGAACAATTCAGTTGTTTGAATGGGAGAAATTGAAGGTTTGTGTTTGCTTGATGGTGACAAATTGTTGTGTCAACATGCATGTAATAACATTTTGTGACTTTAAGAGTGTTTTCATTGTATTCTGTTGTTGTGTATATCAATTATTACACCTCAATGTCATAAGAAACTGATTTCATCAGCGCTTACCGTTCTTTGGACTGTTCATACATGTAACGCTTTGATAAGCATCATTGTATCAACATCTTTAAGTGACAATTAGAGAAGTGTTGGCAATAATAAAGAGGAAATATAGTTGGGATTTAGAAGTCCAAAATGACATCCAAATACAAATATCTTGATAAAACTGCTGAACAAGCAGTATTCAAGATGTACTAAAGATGTACTAAGGACCATCATAAAATATTGCTTGTTAATGGTCGACAGTAAAAATAAGAGAATGTCAAGGTTTTATATTTATGTGATTTATTTTACTAAGTATTTGTCATTTTGTTTT